AGTGAGCAAATTACAAGCACAAATATCCCCTGATGCAATGCCACAACCATCCCTGGGAAAGAGCAGAGGCAGTTGCCAAAAGCGCAGCAGTAGGGAAATGGGCGGGAGACACTCACAGGGAGCAAGAAACACTGCAGGGTCCCTGAGGAGAAATGCTGTAACTGGACCAGCGGAGGGAAAGGGGGATTCCGGAGAAAGCTGGGTAACACTAATCTTCCCTGAGAAGCATAGCTACACCACCCCACCTCACCCGGGGAGAGGGCGAGTTCTGGATTCCTAACACAAACCTGTGGGGAAATCAATCTCTTCCCCTAAAGCAGCAAACGCACTTAATCTGCACAATAATGGAGATAAGCAAAACCTCCCAAACACGCCCAGAAGGCAATCTCAACCAAAGCTGAGCTCCGGCTGTAACAGTCCAAAAGAGCTCGTCCCGTGTGCTAAATAAACCACAATCTCTGCTCTGAATAACGTTTCCAACGGCCGCTGCTAGTCCTGCTCCCCAAGTTTCCCGGCTCTGCACCCTTACGGTGACCCCGCTGCATTCCCGAAGCCAGACACTAGAAGCGCATCAGTCCCCAAACTGTGCGGGGGCCCACGCACACAAGGGCTCGAGTTACGATCTGCGGACCACCCCCCTCAGCCCCACCCATGACCCCCAAACCCGACACGCGGAGGCTCTCCTCAGTCCCCACACCCACTGACGCCCCTCCGGACGCCTGGAGAAACGTCCCCGCCGCTCTTCTGCATTCCCCCGAACCCCACCCAAGGCCCCAGGCTGTGGCCGACCCTCGGTGCCTGGACTCAGCACATGCCCAGGCTGAGGCAAGCCGCTCGGCTCCACAGCTCCGGACGCCCGCAAACAGGATCTCTTGGCCGGTCTCGCCCCCTACGGTCCCCTCCGAAGGCGCCGCCGAGACTCGGAAGGTCACGCCCGCAGGCCCCCCGCCGGGCCCCCTCTAGCAGCGACCCGGGCGTCCGCAGGCGGGCAGCCACCGCCCTTCCCCGCCTCGGGCGGGACCTGCAGGGGTCCCCAGCGGTCCCCAGGAGATCCTAGGGCAGTGTCTCGGGGGGAAAGCGAAGAGGCCGACTCTCGGATCCCGACCTCGCCAGCACTCACCCGCCGCCGCCGCCACCAAGCCCAAGCCGGAGCCGCAAGAAGCCGGGAGAGGGCAGAGAGGAGCCAGGAGCAGCCGGGAGGAGCCGCGGGAGCCGCAGAGCAAGCCGGAGGGGCGGGGCGCAGGGAGGTGGCCGCTTCCTCGTCGCCCTCTTGAAGGCCGGCACGAAGGCGGGGCGTCCCCCACAACCAGCGGACGCCGCCCCAACCAATGGGCGCCCCCGAGGGGCGGGCCAAAGCGCCGCGAGCCAATCCACGCCGGCCCCTGCGCCTCGACCTCTCGGTGGAAGCGGCACGAGCGGCGGACGGTTGGCGAGGCGCGCGTCGGAGGTCTGGGCTGCGGCCTCCGGCCCGCGGGTACCGGAGCGAAGGGCGAGCCTCCGGCCGCCCCCGCCGTTCTGAGACGGCCACTGCTTCCTTTCCCAGCGGGGAGGATGCCGGTGTCAGGCGCACACGGCCTGGGTGCGGGTGGGCCCGAGTGGGCCCCGCGGGCGCTGACTGGTGGGCTCTATGATGTCATCTGGGAGGGGCGGGGGCGGGTCCTTGGGCCCTCGCCGCAGGGAACCCTGCCGGGCGGGCGAGCAGAGGGCACGACTCTGGGCAGCTCCCTAGAGCCGGCCTGGAAACGTGACTGGACCAAGTTGAGAAGAAGGGACATTGTTTATTGCAAAACTAATTATATAGTTTGGCGTGTATTTAAGTAACTTAATTTCATGTTTCTTTTAGTTTTATTCCGTTCAGTTACTTAAAAATCGCCTTTGTTTAGTTTTGATTTTTTTTGAGACAGTCTCACAGCATAGCACAGGCTGGCCTGACATTCACTATCACCCACCTGCCTCAAAGTGATGGCGGTCCTTCTGCCTCAGCCTCCCGAATTCCTGGGAGCCTCCACACCCGGCTTAATTACCTCCTCCTCCTCCTCCTCCACCCTCTCCTTTTTTTGAGACAGAGTCTCACTATGTTTGATTCACATTATATTGCCTGTGGATAGTACCGGTCTGAAAGAAATAATGGTACTTAATCCTTTTGAGTGCTTATTCCGTCTCCCAGATAGCAACACTAGCTCTTAATCACAACAATCCTGGATGGTTAGGAAATAGATCCTCATTCCTGTTTATATTTTTGGTTGTGAGCCTGGCTGCAGTTTTGTCGTCTCTCCAGCCCTCCTCATTGCCTGTTTATGAAGGAGGGGACAGACAAGTTTAGTAACAACATAATGACAAGGCAGTATTTGCCTAGTGGGGCTTTAATTTAGGTAGCCAGGTGATAGGGTTGTAAACTCAGCCCTATAGAGGTTACTAGGAAGACTTGTTTAGGAAGCACAGCTGTGTTTTGTAGCTGTGTAGCCTTGAGAAAACTAAGCTTCAATTTCCTCACTTATGAAAATTAGATAATAGTCACTCTCAATAGAGTTATTAATAGGATGCCAGTGGCAAAATGCTGATGACCCATACTCCCCATAAAATCTCAACACAGCCTAACAAGTTGTATAAACTTGTGGAAGACTTCTAAATCTATTCTAAATCACTGTTGTGTAACAGTTTCCTTTATCATCAGAACTTTCCATCCTACAGGGAAGCTCCTTAAGCAGGAAGGTAAACAACTCAAAATAGCTTCAGGAAATCCCTGAAACCAACCAGATTCACAAGGCTCCTCTCTGCCAGAATTCAGTGTTCCTCTCAGAAGACCAGAGCCAAGCTGCAAAAAAGACTCTCAGAAGAGGAAAAGCTGCAAAGACTCTGAAACCAGCCAAACTGCCTAGAAGAGGTTTAGACCAGTGTCACCTGCAAAGAATACTCTCCAACCTGTTGAGTGGCCTGCAGGCTGTGGAGTGTTATCCAGGAATCCCAGTTCTGTGAGTTGTCACCCATGCTGGGGTGGGCCTTGGTGATACAGCTGTCTTTGAGTCTTTTCTGCTCCTGTAAGTGACCCCTCTCTCATATCCCTTCATATTTTTATAAGTAACCCCAATAAAACTTACTGTTTGACCAAGATGAACTTTGGTCTGTCATGAGTTCCCTATCTGGGGTAAGTGGACATGTGTATTGCATCTCCCCAGGGAAAGTTTTGTCATTGATTTTAACTATAAATGGAGAGGATAATTTCATGGGATCCATACTGATAACTCTCCTAGAGCTTGGCAATGTTGTCACACACCTTTAATCCCATCACTGAGGAGACAGAGGCAGGCAGATCTCTGAGTTCGAGGCCAGCCTGATCTACAGAGCAGGACAGCCAAGACTACACAAAAAAAAACTCTGTCTCAAAAAACATAATAACAACAATAATAATAATAACTATTCTAAAGTACATACATTGGTACTTCGCATTTAGTGGTCATGGTTCATACTGGGCAGCAGTGGCACCTGCCTTTACTCCCAACACTCAGGAGGCAGAGCCAGGCGGATCTCTGTGAATTCAAGGCCAGCCTGTTCTACAAATCGAGTTCCAAGACAGGCTCTAAAGCTACACAGAGAAACCCTGTCTCAAAAAACTAAAATAAGAAGAAGGAGGAGGAGAAGCAGCAGCAGCAGCAGCAGCAGCAGCAGCAGCCAGGTGTGGTGGCGCATACCTTTTACCCCAGCCCTTGGGAGGCAAAGGCAGGCAGATCTCTGTGAGTTGGAGGCCAACCTGGTCTGCAAAGTAAGTTCCAGGACAGCCAAGGCTGTTACACAGAGAAATCCTGTCTCAAAAAACCAAAAATAAATAAATTAACTAATTTATAATAGTAATAATAGTAACAAAAAGCCAGTAGTCCATGCTTGTAATTCCAGCATTTAGAAATGGGAGCCGGGGTTGGGGATTTAGCTCAGTGGTAGGCCCTGGGTTCAGTACTCAGCCCTGAAAAAAAACAAAAAGAAATGGGAGCCAGAGGATCAGTTCATGAGATCCTGTATCAACAAAAAAGTAAAGGCTTGGTGAGAAAGATCCAGAACTCTCTCTCAATCTCTCTCTCACACATGCGCGCACGGGCACATACACACACACACACACACACACACACACACACACACACACACACACTCAACTCCAAGGAGAATGTAAGGAAACTAACAGTTGTTTTTTCTAACAAATATATATAGTGCACCATTCTGTTAGATAAGCCACACGAGTCAGCACATTCACAGGGTGCATTAGATGGATTTCCTAACTGAATGAAGCGGTACACACCTGCAACAGCGGCACTCTGGAGGCAGAGACAGGAACTACTGAGTTTCAGATCATCCTAGGCTCTACGGCAGGTTTGATTCCACTCTGCACTACATAGCAAGACCCCATCTCAAAAAAAAAAAAAACAAATCCTGGATCTTGGAGGCTGAACTTGGTTGGGAGCTGTCCCACACGTAAGGCAGGAAGATGGTGGCCGCAAAGAAGACATAAAAGTCTCTGGAGTCAACTCTAGGCTCCAACTTGTTATGAAAAGAGGAAAGTACGTGCTGGGATACAAATAGACTCTGAAGATGATCAGACAGGGCAAAGCGAAATTGGTTATCCTTGCCAACAACTGTCCAGCTTTGAGGAAATCTGAAATAGAATACTATGCCATGTTGGCTAAAACTGGTGTCCCTCACTACAGTGGCAATAACATTGAATTGGGCACAGCATGTGGAAAATACTAGAGTATGCACACTGGCTAGCATTGACCCAGGTGATTCTGATATTATTAGAAGCATGCCAGAACAGACTGGTGAAAAGTAAACCAGGAAAGTTTTCCTTTGATAAAACTTTACCAGAGCGCCTTTTAAAAAATTCTGGTTTGTTAACATTATTTCATATCAAGACTCTGGATTTTGTCTAATGCTGGATTTATTATCCTGAAAAATATAAAGTGAGTGTTAAAATGATTCTTCCTGGAGACTGAAGTAGCCAGTCCCAAGACCTGTCTCAGACTCCATGACTACAGTTGTCTTTGAGCCCATTTGAAGTCAGATGTCTAGGAAAGCTTAAGTGTTAGAATCCACAGGGCAGTGGTGGCTCATACCTTTAATCCCAGCACTCTGGAGGCAGAGGTAGGCAGATCTCTGTGAGTTCAAGGCCAGCCTGGGCTACAGAACTAGTTCGATGACAGCCAAAGTTACACAAAGAAACCCTGTCTCAGAGGGGGGAAAAGTGTTAGGAACCTACATTCTTTAAATTAATAGATTCCCCATATTATGAGTGCCTAGGGTTGAGCCCAGGAAATCTTTTCTTTTTTGTAAGACAGGATCTTACCATATATGTAGCTCTGGACTAGATTCCCTATTTAGACCAGGCTGCTGTCAGATTCACAGAGATCAGCCTACCTCTGTATCCTAAATGCTGGGATTAAAAGTGTGTGCCACCTTGGGGGGAGGGGGGGCGGCAGGGTTGGCACATGCCTTTAATCCCAGCACTTTCAAGGCAGAAGCAGGTGAATCTCTTGAGTTCAAGGCCAGCCTGGTCTATGGAGTGAGTTCCAGGACAGCAGGGCTACACAGAGAAACCCTGTTTCAAAAAATGTGTGCCACCATGCCCAGCCCAGAAATCATTCTTTTTTTATCTTTATTTTATTATTATTTTTTTAACATGTGTGGGTGTTTTACCTGCATGTATGTCTGTGCATCACGTGCATTAGGAAGGCCAGAGAAGGTTGTTGGATCCCCTGGAAGTGGAGTTACAAACAGTTGTGAGCCACCATGGGGGTACTGAAAATCGAACCTGGGTCCTCTGGAAGAGCAACAAGTACTTTGAACGACTAAGCCATCTCTAGTCATCTTCCAGCCCCTAGAAGTCATTCTTAGTTCTTCCTTCTTCCTTCCTCTCGGGCCTGTCAGATATGCCTGCCCCAGAAATTGCAGCAGCAGCTAGCTTTAGTAATACACACTTGTAATCTCAGCACTCAGGAGGCTGGAGCAGGATTAGGAGTTTCAGGCCAGCCTTGGCTACATGAGATTGTATGTCAGAACACTAGAAGAAAAAAAAGAAACAGCTCTCAAAAAAAAAAAAAAAAAAAATCCAAGTGAGCAGATCCTTCTTTGTGGTTAGCCTTAGCCAAGCTCTGTTGGTACAAACTGCCAATAGTCATCTGTAGCAACTACAATCCCAGCCCTGGACTGCAAGATAAAGAACCCCATTACAGATTAACCTGCACCAGGAACAGACTGTGTAGCCTTGGGGAAGCTATTTCCCATCCCTGGGCCTCAGGTTCCTCATGTCTATCAGGGGAAGTAGAACAGACGGCAATGACTTTTCTACTTCTTGCTTTCTGTGGTCTCATCGCTCAGTGCACTGGGACTTCCTTTCACTTGAAATAAAGACACCTCTCTCAAGGCTGGCTGATGTATCCTTGTTGCCTTGACGTTAGGAGCCTGCATCCTCTCAGTAGCTATTGGGGAGCACATACCTTTGGGGCATTCCCTTAATATCAAGTCACCTGAGTCAGGGCCTGATTCTGTCTTCCTTTTATTTATCTTCTCCTAGAGTGGTCCGAAGGCAGAGAAGGTTGTTTTCTACTTTTAAGGTAATGCTCACCTCATCCAGTACTGCTCCTGAACATGCTGTGTGATTTCTCCTTATAGACCCTCAACTGATCCTCCCAATGATGGCATTCTAAGATTGAATGATGTTTTTAGAAAGGAACTCGCTTTGTAGCCCAGGCTGACCTTGAACTCACAGAGATCCACCTGGCTCTGCCTCCTGAGTGCTGGGATTAAAGGCATGCGCCACCACCACCGGGCAACCAGGCCAGTTTCAAACCCAGAGATCTACCTGCATCTGCCTCTCGAGCATTGAGATTAAAGGAGTGCGCCACCAAGTTCAGCCAACCCTGACTTCCTGACCTTCCTGTCTCCCCAGAGCCTAGACTGGGCGCAAACTCAGTATCCTCCTGTCTGACACTCCTAAAGTGCTCAGGTTCTGGGATTACAGGCATGTGCCACCATACCTGGCTAGTTTTTTATCTGGTTGTTTGGTTGTTTGGTTGTTTTTTGATTTTTGGTTTTTGGAGACAGGTTTTCTCTGTGTAACAACTCTGGCTGTCCTGAAACTTGTTTTGTGGACCAGGCTGGCCTCAAACTCACTAAGATCCTCCTGCTTCTACCCGCAAGTGCTGGGATTAAAGGTGTGCGCCACCACACCTGGCTTGTGTGTTGTTTTTAATTTTATGAGCATTGACTGGTGTTTGACTGCATGTATGGTCGTGTGAGGGTGTCAGATCCCCTAGAACTGAAGTTACAGAAAGTTGTGAGCTGTCACGTGGGTGCTGGGAATTGAACCTGGGTTCTCTGGAAGAGCAGCCAATGTTCTTAACCCCCAACCATCTCTCCAGCCCCAACCTGGCTAGTTTTTTTGTTGTTATTTTGTTTGTCTCTCTTTTTCCTTCCAGGATCTACTTCCTGGCTGCAGAACATAGCCACTGAGCTGCGACTCCAGGACTGCTCAAGTGATGCCCTAAGGTCTTTGGCATGCCTAGCAGAGACACCTGGCTGCTCTCCAGTTCTTCTGTGTTCCATTCTGAACCCCAATAAAATATCCAGGTTTCTTTTCAATTCTGACTCGTAATGTCAAACCCTCCAGATGGCCACTGTGTCTATTGGCCTCCTAAGCTAGAATCCAGCCCCTCTTCAATCAGTATCCTTGATACGGATACAGGATGATAATTCTCACCCTGGTCGCTTCTACATCTCACTCTGAGCTCCATCTAACCTCTTTCTTGTTCACCATCTGCAGCCACAAAAGAAATGAGTCATGAGGCTGGGGTATATAGTTCACAGGCCGAGTACTGCCTGTCATCATGCAGGAAGTGCTGGGTTTCACTCCAAATTTGGGGTATCTGAGTGTATACATAGCAGAGATAGCAGGAACTAGAAGACTCTTTTTGATCCTTTTCTAGTCTGGAGACGGAGAAGAAACGGAAAGTAAGCAAGACTGCTGGTCATGATAGAAAATGGCAAAGGGGGCTCTGCAGAGCAGAGGCGTACAAACCCCAGCTCCTCCCCGTTGCTGCCAGTCCCTAAGTATGGATACAGCATCGTCAGGGAACAGTCAATTTTTCCCATGAAATGACCTAGTGTAAATAACAATTAATTGAGGAAAAAATGGGCTGAATGATAGTAGCACCCATGCTTATAATTCCAGCACTCAGGAGGCAGACGCAGGCAGATCTGTCTGTGAGTTTGAGACCAGCCTGGTCCATTGTGGTTTGTAAGAAAATGGCCCAAAGGCCCAGGCACCATTAGGAGGTGTGGCCTTGTGGGAGGAAGTGTGTTGCTGTGGGGCGGGTTTTGAGGTCTCTCTGTCAAGCTTCCCTCAGTGTGACAGTTCAGTCAAGTTCCTGCTGCCTTCTGGTCAAGCTGTACCTGGCACCGCTTCTGCCTGCAGGCTGCCATGCTGCCCTTCATGATCATAATGGACTGAACTTCTGAAACT